CCCAGGGAAGGGGTCGAGTCCCCAGCCCTGGGGGGATTTAACAGCCGGGCAGGGCAGAGGCTGAGGGCCAGGGTTTGGGGGGGGGATGGCAGGGGTAGGGGGGCGGTTGGGCTGCGGGAGCTGAAAGGGCTTTGACAACCTAAACGATTCTGTGATTTTATGATTTTGACACGTGTGGCCTCCTCCCACAGGATGCGCTGCCCCTTTCCCATCCTAGGCTGCATAGGCAGACTTTTTGTAGCAAGCCACAGCACTGGTGACTGGGAAAGCAGACAAACAGGGAGGCAGAGACTGACAAGCCTCTACTCTAAGTCACTGGCACGCACAAAAATGAAAACAAGAGGTGTTGATAAGAAAGTTGGATTAAAAGCAGGATACGTTTAAGGAAGCAGAGATTGGAGTGAAAAGACATAAATGTCCTATGCAGACATGGGGGAATGGACAATGCTTCAACCTTGCAAGCAGCAGGCTGGAGGAGAAGGAAAGCCAGAATAGGGTGAAGAGAACTTTAATAAATGGGAAAGAAAATGGATAATAAAAGATAATAACTCTTACATGCTCAATGAATTAAACATAATTAGAAATGTCCCCCTTCTTTTTAAAAAAGTAAGGTTTGCACTGTAGCAGTCAAACAAAAGCCAAATGTTACAGCCACACGGTTTCCACAGGGGTAACATACAGCCATTTAAAACATAAATGAAAAGGGAAGCACTCAAGAACATCAGCCTCTTCAGGAAACAGTGACCTGTTTAAGGATCTTCTCGTGTGAAGAACCCCAAGAACGGTGCAGTGTAAGACTGGTATTTTGATGGGCAGGTGCTAACAGTCAGCACTGCTGGCATTTAAATGCTCAGGCATTAGAAGATGAGCAGATGGGCTGCATCGGGAGAAGCGTGGCCAGCAGGTCAAGGGAGGTGATTCTGCCCCTCTACTCTGCTCTGGTGAGACGTCACCTAGAGTACTGCGTCCAGCTCTGGAGCCCTCAGCACAAGAAGGACATGGAAGTGTTGGAGGGGGGCCAGAGGAGGGCCACAAAAATGATCCGAGGGCTGGAGCACCTCTGCTATGAGGACAGGCTGAGGGAGTTGGGCTTGTTCAGCCTGGAGAAGAGAAGGCTGCGGGGAGACCTGATTGCGGCCTTTCAGTACCTAAAGGGGGCCTGTAGGAAAGATGGGGAAAATCTTTTTAGTAGGGCCAGCTGTGACAAGACAAGGGGTAATGGTTTTAAACTAAACCAGGGTAGGTTTAGACTAGATATAAGGAAGAAGTTCTTTACAATGAGGGTGGTGAAACACTGGAATGGGTTGCCCAGAGAGGTGGTGGAGGCCCCATCCCTGCAAACATTCAAGACCAGGTTGGACGGGGCTCTGAGCAACCTGATATAGTTAGCGGTGTCCCTGCTCCTGCGGGGGTGTTGGACTAGATGACCTCTTGGGGTCCCTTCCAACCCAAAACATTCTATGATTCTATGATTAAGGCTCTGCAGCAGCACACAGGGGTTTCCACGGTGCTCTCTTACCTGCTCAGGTGCCAGTCCTTTAGATAAAGGCATCCCCGGGATGAACGGTAGTCATTTTTAATGTACTCTTTCCAGTACTTTACATACTCCTTGAAGGGGAGCTGCTCCTTCGGGTTAGAATTGTACTCCTTGACATCACAGTTGGCAACAGGTACTACAGCCTCTCCTGAAATATAAACTCTTTGACAACAATCCCTAGTCCAGCTCTCACACCCAACACCATCGTTCTAGGCAGTCATGATTCAGACCAAAGCTGTTTATTAATTTGACCTGAATTTTCCTCTTGAACTACATGAGGAGTGGGGTACTGATTCCTATTAAATCTACTAATATTTTACAGCCTGGAGAGATATTTCAGTGTGACTACAGAATACTTTCCCCTTGCCTGGGGGAAGTGTCAGGCTGCTCTTCTGGTTAAAGGTAATCAGGTATATAAATTGGTATGGTTAAATTCTACAACACTTTTTATTGTATTTCATTATGGGAATAAATTTGAGATTGGAATCTGCGAAACATGAAGTGTGAGTAAGTATAGAAAATGAATGTATTAACTTAGAAGAAAGTCTGAGGAATTGCTTGGGTTTGTCTAGTGGCTCTATCCCTAAGATTAAACACATACACGCTTTAATTAGGTATTAAAAATGCCATGGACTTACCAAACTTTTGCAGCAGATGATCAAAGTTAGGCTTTCCATCCCAAGTAACCCAATTTCTCCTGCTGCCCCAGTCTTCAGTGAATTTAGCTGAGAGAATACAGGGATGGTTGGGAATCAAATAATCCCGGAAAAAGTCTGAGTAAGTGAACGATTCTACTTTTTCAATAAAGTCAACGTGCCCTCCGGGGAGGCAGAATGCACCCTGAGATGAACTGCTGTAGTCACGAAAAAAGGCAGTGGAACAGGCGAATGTTGCCCTGTCCATGCAGGCTGGATAATCCTTCCTGGCTTAGCCAAGACAACGTTGACCAGATGCTATCCTGTTATGCTAGGACAAAAAAAACCTGCTTTAAAACGTGAGTCAAGTCTCTAAATCCATGAAAACTCACAGGAAAATATAAACAGGCAGAGGTAAAACAGGAAGCAGTGCAGGAGCATCCCATCACATTGGGCTAATTAGGATCTTCCATAGCTTATAAAGTTTAATGCTGGTGGAACATCTGCCAACAAAGTCACCCTATGGATGGTGAAGATGTTGCTTTTCCCTCGTCACCTTCTTGCCAGGGCGACCATGCTCTCTGGGGATGACCAGCAAAGGCTGGTTCCTCCCTGAAACAACAGAAACATTCATTTCAGTGGGATATCCCTGCGAAATGAATTAATTGCAGGGGTGGAGGGAAGGAAAACCCCTAAATATTTGGGGCCCTGGGAAACCGCTGTACCAGGGCTCACCCCTTTGTCAGGAGAAGACACAAACTCTGGCACCCTCCCCAGATTTTCTCTATGGGCCAGGCAGCAATTACAGGTTAAAAAAAAAAAAAAAAAAAAAAAACAAGAAAAAGGTAAATAGTGAATAAAGGGGAGGTGTCTGGGGAAGCGAGGGGGAAACTGAGCACAGAGGGGGAGGCCTGAGGGCAACTGAGGCCACATACCCTGCAGGGATGGGCTTCAAGAGAGAGGAGATACCGGGGGCGAAGGGGAGATACCGGGGGCGA